CAATCTTAAATGGACAATGGAAAAGTTTCATAAACTAATCCAAAGTCATATTTCCCGTAATTTTTGCTTCTAAAAATCTCTGCCACTCATTTCCGATATGTTGAACATTTTAAATAAAACATTAAATGCCGTAATTATTTTATCATTATCACCTATCCATTTTCAGGAAACGAATCTACGAGATATATTTTACTACGATCTACTATCTACAATCTACTATCTACAATCTACTATCTACAATCTACGATTTAAGAGGTGTAGATTCGTTTCCTTAATAAACAAAATTCGCACTCACCGACCCGACGCGCAGCAGCGGAGTTGTTGTCTATCTGTAACACAAATATAAAATTTATATTAAAAAACAGTGTTTAACAAAACCAATTTTGCAAAATATAATTTCAACGCGTATTTAACTTTTTATTCAGTTAGATTTAAATATCGTGAAAGATTTTCCGCAAAAGAACTTTATCTTAATTTTTTAATTATTTTAAAATTATGGTGAAATAAAATGACTCAACAATAAACCGGAAAACATTAATTTTACAAAACAGGAAAAATAATATTTACCGTAAAGTTGCTCCGCCGGCGCCTAAAGCCTCTCCGAGGCCTCCTCCTCCACTCAGGTTGTCCTTCGGGACTCCTTCTGGGACTCTTCCAGCAGTCTGTAACATACAATTACAAAGTTAAAACAGTGATCTCTTTCCAATTATTATTTTTAATTGTGGTAAGATATAATGACAGACAGGAGGAAGATAAATTTTATACGAAATGAAAAGTATATTTACCTCAAAGATGCTCCGACGACGCCCGATGCCTATCCGAGACCTCGATGCTCGTCCCAAAAACTGCCAAATCTCGGAAGTGTGGCCATCGACAGGAACGGACATTTAAAGACTACATATCTTTCAAACGAGCTTTGAAATGACTTTATTAATGCGAATACTATACGGCACTCCCGAACACGATGGGTACCTTTGGTTGTCCCGTCTTTAGAGTCTGTACTCTCTAAAAATTAATCAGTGCATATTTACTGTAAATCAGTGAATATTCATTGTTTTCAGTAATAAACCACTGAGTGATTTTTAGAGAGTAACCCTTCAGGGTACTTAAGCCCCTCCACCACGACAAGGTAGTACCCGAGGAGGGGATTATCAACAAGAAACTGTGCAATTACATATGTGTATATATAGAAAAATGAATATTGAATGAACATAAATTAGTGTTGCTATTTAATGCACGACGTGAGAGAGATTCATCCAATCGAAAGATTAATTCGCACTCTCGATCTTGGGACAAAATCAATTTTCTCGGAATTTATCAATAATGCCTCATAAACTAATAATCCGAGATGAGCCATTCTTATCTCGTTAGAAGCGCTGAAATCTTAGCTTTCCAACGAGACCAAGATCATCTTCCTACGATTTTTCTGTGCGAAGTTATTAACGATTATATCGACTCGCGATCTTAATCCTCATTCAGAAGCAGCAGACGGCGCGTATATGCGGCGTCTCGCGCGGCGTCTCGCGCCGCGATGTTTACTACCGAACAGGTGTTCCTCGTATGTTTTGATGCCAGTTTTTTGGGGACGTAGTACTACTCGCGTAAAATTCGCGCGGCCTTCTTTCATGAATGGTGCGCGCGCGCCCGATTTTTAAAACTCCATAACTCGGCGAAAAATCGACGTAGCGACATGAACCAAACACCAATCTTCTTCGTTTCGCATCCCGCAGATATTTACGCTAAATGTATGCCGTTATCATAAAACTTAAACACGGCAATGTAATAAAAAGTAAAATGCTGAAATATAAATTATACATATAATCAACTTATTTCATCGTATTCAGTCTTCCTTCGTCGGGCCAGCTGGGACTTACCTTTCGTCGCTCCTGGCCATACAGTCTGGTCATTTTGACCAGAGATTAGAAAGGAAAAAAAACTCCTCCCATAGTCGGTTTATTATCGTCACCGACAGATATTTCGTACGGTTCGAACTATACTGCGAGCGTCGATCGTATCGAAATGCACAACCACGAGAAGTTATATAGATACAATATGTTTATTGGTTACATCACTTTGCACTCATAAAGAATAGCACAAGAAAGCCTCTTTCAAAGAAAAGATAAGTAATATTATCCGAATGTATAAACTTATCCGTATTTATAACACCCTATGAGGTTTTCTTCTTACGAGAAAGTCTTATACCGTCCGTCCCTCTAGTGAGGACCACTTCACTTTTGTTTACCATGTGATTAATAAGGTAAATGATAGAAATGTAGTTAAATTATAATATTATAGTAATAATTATTATAAAAATGATATTCCTAACTACAATTATTTTACTATGCAATTATAGTTTCAAATACATATTTTTCTATCAGTGTAACTGTAACTAGTTACATTTTTAGCGTAAAAACTGTCACTGTAACTAGATACTTTTATAAAGTAATTTTTCCTGCTTAAACCAGCTCAGATTTTCTTACATGCATCTACACCCAACGAAAAAATTTCTGGATCCAATACTATTACACTTGAATGTATCATAAAATAGGATCGATATAGCGCCAATCGTATTTATTATAGAGAAAGGAATATTTTAATCTTAAAAGAACAATTCTAAAATCTAGAATAAAATGATAGTAGGAGTGTATCGTCTTTTGTCGATTAATAAGAATTATTGATTTTACTTTGATATCGTCTCATTTTTATACTAAATACGGTTGCGAGGAATATAAATGCGTCGAGAATATTTTTTGTCTCGGTAACGGAAATCCTTTCTGAGGGTATACCTATGTGTCGCAGAGAGTCAAGGGAATTAAATCTGGGAAAAGGAATGCTGTGTCCAGGTTTCACGGTACCTTATTTTTTCAGCGGAGTCCTAGAGAGTGACTATGCAAAATTTGATCCTAATCGGTCAAAGGGTTTGGGGATTAATAGGGAAACATATACAGACAGTTTATTTTATTTCGTGTGTATAGTTTGTAAAGCCTATTCTGCAATGTGCTCTCTGCATCTAGAAACATTATGTTTTATATAAACAAATCAAAACGCTTAGAAAATCTGCCGACAATTGCACGATTGTACAGTGTATAATATACAATTAATCAGCTTGCACAAATTTTTAGGGGTATTTATCGACCACAAAATAAAACGTCTCTAGACGCAAAGGGCACGTCGTAGATCAGACTTAATTGTTCTCGCTCTCTGCGGGATTGATATGTCGCGAAACACGTGGCCACCACAAAATATTCATGAAGCGCTCGAACCTCGCGAGACGGTCGAATTCGTTCCCTTTTTAACATTTAATGGCACATTACGGAAAAAGGCGTTTGGCTCGAATCGCCGAGTTTGTGGACTGCGATGCCAGTCTTTTAATAGCTTAGGGACCTGGCGACTGTTATCGAAATTGGAGAAAATAGAGAAACTTGTAGAAACTTGTGAACTGCGTTTACCACCAACACCTTAAATCCATTAGAGCTTTAAATCTATTATGGACTGTAGATTGCGACGGCATAATCCAGCTTTCTTTTTACACAGTTTTTCGAGAAATTTTACTCTGTCGCATATATAGATTTTAATATTTCAGTTTCTAATAAATTAATTGAATTGTTTCAATCGGACACACGTCCTCGTGCATCAGCGATTTTCAACAGTGTGTCGTGACAATTTTTTAAATATCACTCAAAGAAATGTCTTACTAACGCAGGTAGATCTGTAGGTGTCGCAACAAAAATTAAACTCGACTTTACACGCAAAACTGTAACACGAGCGTCGGGGCCGTCCCCGGCGTTCGGATTCGCGCTGCCGTCTCCGCTGCCGCCCTCTCGGGCGGCGCGGCGCGGACACGAAGCCGGAGGCGTCCGCCCGGACGCGTCGGTACCCCGAAAACGCGGGCCCCGCTCTAATTTATCGCCCCAATAAAGAACGTTCCCGTTTTGTCGCTCGAATTCGTGATTTAAGCGAGACGACCTGAACGCAACGCACCGAACGGTCCGTTTCGGAGTCGTAAAGTACGGGAAAAAAAAGAAGAAAAAAAATACAGTTTCTATGAAACGGAGTCGTAAAGTACGTTCCGGTGGCAAGAGAACTGGAACAAAGGGAGCCGGAGGTTGCCCGGGAGAGTGGGGCATTTTTCGCACACATTGCGAAAAGATAAGGCCCGGCGTCTCCTTCGGGGATTGGCGAAAAATTCACCGGGAGCCCCGGGCCTCATTATCCCTCGTCCTTTTCACCTCGCACGCCGCGCGATTGGCCGCTCAGGGGCGACCCAGGCAGAAGGGACCGACGGCCGGGCATAATCGTAACTCAACTCCCGCGCGCTATTTCACGGTACAATCGGACGCCCCGGTCGCGACATCTAGCGGCGCCGTCGCTCACACCCGCCGTGCGTCGTCGTGCGCCGCCATTGTCACAGTCCGCCTCGCCGCCGCCGCCGCCACTCCGCTCCGCCGCCGCCGCCGTCGCCGCCGGAGACGACGTCGACGACGACGACGCCGCGCACGGGCGTACCGTGGTGTCACCGAACCCGTGTGCACGTTCGCCCGCGCTCTCCGTCAACGCCGGACGCCAAGGCAGGCCCGTCGCGGGGATCGCGACCAGGCGTTCCCCCTCCCCGGCCCCCCCGCCTACCCCCTCGTGCGGCCGCTGTCGCGCGCTCGGCGTTCGCCGCATTCGCGAGATCGCCCCGTTACGGTCCCGTGCACCTCGACGCCGTCGGAACACCTTGCCGGGAGGGCGGGAGCGAGACGGAGGAAGAAAGGGAGCGAGCGGGCGAGAGAGGAGGGAGGAGGGAGGACAGAAGCGCCCTGGCCGCTCGCGAAGGATCGTCCCTCTGGTCCCGCACGTCGTTCCCTGCTGTCACTCTCGTGCCGAGGCCGATACGGATCGCGCGGCGGCGTCCCGACCGCAGATGCCCCGTCGACGGATCCAACCCGGGAGCGGCGCGGCCGTGCTGTGCGTACGTTGTTAGTGCATCATGTGATTGCTTCCACGGGCCGCTGTCTTCGCCACGGTGACGGATACTTAGCCAGCGTCAAGGTTAGTCGCCAGACCTGCTCTTTATCCCCCCCCGTCCCCGCGCCTCCGGTTTACTCTCCCCGCGACCGGGGATCGGGACACGAAGGATCCTGGCCCGACGGCGACGGCGACGGCCGCCCGGCCTCGATCGTTATCCCTTTCGAAGGTCCGTTTTAATTAGCTGCCGCCTTTCCCACGTCGTTCGCGCTGCCACGGGAACGGTAAAACGTTTTTGCGGGCAGCAGCGCACTGAAGAACGTTTTTACACAGAGAACGGGAGAGGAGAGTCCGTCCGGCTTCGGAAGGTTATACTTTTTCGAATGTTTTTTTAGTCTCGGCCCAGATCCTTCTCCGCGGGATAACTTTAGCCGTAGCTGTCGGGGAAAGGTGGAAAAAAAAAAGAAGATTTGGAGCCGGACGGTCGACCCTGACTTAGCGGATTTGCGAACCGCTCTACAGTCCTACCTATAACGTAGACAATGAAAAAAAGTTCGGTCAGAACTAGGGACTAGTCCTTGGAGAGAGCGTGCGGTGGACTGAATTCAATCTTCGCTCCGGGCCCACCGCGCGCGCAGTGATTTCGGAATGCGGACTTCCACGTAAGAGCCTCGCGCGTTTTTGCTATTTATTATTATTGTTGAAAGTGCAGTGAGACCGTTCCTGGGCAATTGCTAGGAGACAATTTACCGGCGCGGCGTTTTCGAACGCAGCAACCGGGCGGAAAACATCGGCGCGGATTCGTCTTTCAATAGGAAACGTGCGACACAGAGAATCTTTTCTTCGCCAGCGATTAGTCGAAATAAACACGCGATGGGGAAAAATTATTCGACGTATCCGGCAGCACTTTATTCAAGGAACTACACGGCGCTTCGACCGAGAATTCCGGTCCCTTTCAAGCGTGATAATTGAATGTCGTTGCTTGCACAAGTTAATAATTCTAGTGACTAGGGCCCAGTTTCACCAAACATCGCTTAACTTTAATCTTAGTTTAATTCACGTTTGTCTCGTCTTAAAGTAAAAGTTGGAAAGAGACAACGAACAAATTAAACTTGAAGTTAAACAACGTTGGTAAAACTGGACAGAAGGCTAACTGTTAACCGAGGTCAGTCGACCCTCCATTTTTTTCTACGTTATTTGAAAGAGACAGAGGGTCGGCTAATAGACAGAGGGTCGCCTATAGTTAACAGTTAACCAGAAAGTGAAAAACCGGGCCTGAGTCCTCCAGCATTTACATTGTCCGCCGTTGTGAATGAAACAAGATAATTGAATGTCGTTACTTGTACAAGTTAATAACTCTAGTGACTAGGGCCCAGTTTCACCAAACATCGCTTAACTTTAATCTTAGTTTAATTCACGTTTGTCTCGTCTTAAAGTAAAAGTTGGAAAGAGACAACGAACAAATTAAACTAAGCTTGAAGTTAAACAACGTCGGTAAAACTGGACCTAAGGCTAACTGTTAACCGAAGTCAGTCGACCCTCCATTTTTTTCTACGTTATTTGAAAGAGACAGAGGGTCGACTAACCTATAGTTAACAGTTAACCAGAAAGTGAAAAACCGGGCCTGAGTCCTCCAGCGTTTACATTGTCCGCCGTTGTGAATGAAACAAGCGCGTCCCGGATTGCCCACGGCTTTCATTTTATAGTCTTCGATCAATTCGGAGTCGAGATTTTCTTAAGAAAGTGGCGAGGCGCGAATTTCAAGTTTGAGACGATTGAAAAATCCAAGACCAATTAATACGAATTAACTTACAAAGGTGGACGATAGATTCTCACCTCGCTCTTTTTACTTCAACGATATTGCATTACGAGGTTTCGTTGCAAAGATATTCAACGAATACGAAATACGTTGCGAGAAAAACAATTGACACGAATTAATGCACAAAAGCGAAGGGAATCTTCTTTCTCCTCGCTTCAACGGCAGATTCGATCGCAGGGATATTCAACGAATATACGTGCGTTGTCCTTTTTTGACATATGTCGCAAGAAAAATAATTATCAAATTTGCACTGGAAGGGAAATTTGTTCAATGTGCGAATAAAAAGTGGAGTAATCGGAGAGGAAAAACTCTAGGCGCGATAAAAAAAAACATGTAATTATTAATCCAATTGATGAACAGATTTAATTGTTTTCGCCGCCTCTTCGCATCGTCCACCCTCAACTTTTTTTTTTCTACGACGTTCACTCGCACCTCGAGCGAAAGAAAGGTGCTAAATTGTTCCAACTAAGGAGAGCAGATTTAATGTACGGATTTAATGTCGTAAAGCACAAGGCGTCCCATGGGGTTGATCGGCTGTATCGATCGCTTTGATTGGCTATTCAATCGGCCAGCGATATCCTCTTTCCCCCTATTACACACAATCCTTCTCATCGCACAATCGCAACTATAATAAAGATACAGAGGAGAGATTAAAGGCTAACCGACATTGGTGCAACCGGCTCGACTCCGCGGTTGCCTTTTGTCCCGTTTCGAGTAGTATATGTATATAGTCGACAGTTTTCCCTTCTCGGCCCGTCCCTGAGGCATTCTCAGGGTGCCGGGAGGTACCTGGGATCGTCGAGCAGCTTCGTCCTGCAATGTCGGTTTTTTTTCTTCTTTCCTTTCCCGTTGCAGAGTCTCGGCAGAGACTCGATGAATTATGACTAATTTTCTGATGCGGGCGCAGTTTATCCGCACCGCAAGTCCTCCGGATCTTTCAGATCCTCCGTAAAATACAGTCCGCGCGACTTTCCACGAAATTCGTAATTAACACCGTTTACTAGGTGTCTGCGAAGTGTCGGCGAAATTAATCGTTGCGCGACCACGGCGGAACATTTCTTTACAAGTGTATCTTGTGGAATATTTTTCTAGATATACCCAGTCTCTCCAACTCGAAAGCTCGTTATTACACTATTGTTGGACTATCGTTTATTATTGCGATTATTGTTTGCGATTTAATTAATTTATTTATATTGCAATTTCTATCAACGATATTTGAATTATCTAATTAGTCAAATTGTACCGTAATTATTGTTTCTATCAATAATCGAGTGTGTACTTTGCGACGGCATTTACACAAAATGTACCAGCGCGAATGAGCCGCATAAAATTTTGAATGTCAAAGGTCATCATCGATCGCACCCTAATTAGAATCTAATGCGATCGTGACTAGGGGGGGGGGGAGGAGGAGCCATTTAATATGATAAATGATCGTCACTGCTATTCCCAGAATCGAGAGCTCGATTCGTATACGCGTATCGATAAAAGGCGCGCGATTAACGGGAGCGGCAGTCATTTTAATGCAGAGGTAACGTTTGCTTTTATTTTTCGTACACAACGCGAACCAGACCGCCTCCTTCGTCATCATCCGAGACGTAAGAGACTCGCTGAACTCCGCCGCCAATCGAGCCACTGGCTGTGAATCAGCGATGATAAAGGTTGAACGAATGATATTCCACCTGAGATAAACGCGAGCATTACGTCAGTAAGAAACTGGAGTAGCGCGTCTGGTATTTATTTACTTTACTCCTTATTTATTCAACGCTCAGTCGCGGCAACCTTAGAGATCAATAATCGGGTCGCATTTAAGATAAATATAATAGCTCAGCCCGTGTGAAGTCTCGCCGACAGAAGAAGAGAATTTGACCCGCATATGCATACACGGAGAGAATTTTCTCTTGACGCATTTATCCTGAAAATCGTGTAATCGTGAGACAATGTGGCATTTCAAAGAATTTTATGAGTTTTTTTTTAAATTTTACCACACATTTCACTAGCAATCATACCTAATATACATTTTACTGCCGAAATGTATGGTAAAATTTCAAACAACTCACAAAATGCTTCAAAATGCCACGTCGTCCCACGATTACATGATTGAATTTTACGAGAAAATTCTCTCCGCGTGCGATCGTTTTGCAATACAGGACTAAAAGTCGTGTAAATGGCACTTGGCTTCTTATCTCGCATAACCGCGTCCAATTTGAACTTATGGCATTCGCCGGTTCGTTGACGCGCAAAAATGTACGGCGGTATCGTGGATTATACATTGACTGGCTTTTGCACAATCAGAATCAAATTGATGACAATCAAATTGATGAAAACAGCTCCACTTCGAAAAATCTGACTACACGATGGCGCGCCGCGATCTGTTGCGCGCGACGTACGATAACAACGTTTGGGGGAAGAAAGTGTGATTTGTCCGTTTGTGAATAAGTCCGCCGCGCGTTGTTAACACAAGCGCTTAATCATGCTGATAGCCCAAGTTGAATAACTATGGTTAGCGATTCGTCGTCCCTCTCAGAATTATAGTCCTACCTGTAATACAGGTTCTCCCACCGCTATCGAGTGTCGTTTCAGCCGCGGTCGCTTTAGGACGGGCAAGAATAATGGCGATTGCTTCGACGTTGAGACACCGGTAGTTACGGAATAATTCAATACCGAAAGGACATTATTGTAATTTAAAGAGTTTCGCGAATGGAACTTTTGAGATAATGGAGAATAAAATACATCGTTGCCCCCGATAGACGTTAAGCGAATGTCATTTTAACGAAAATTTATTTTTTTAGACGCGTTCGTTAAAATATTTGATGAATCTATTTCTGGAAGCGTTTAAATTAATATTTTCCTTCTCTCTCTCTCTCTCTCTCTCTCTCTCTCTCTCTCTCTCTCTCTCTCTCTCTTTCTTACAATTTATCCTGAAAATTATGTAATCGTGGGACAATATGGCATTTCGAAGAATTGTGTGAGTTTTTTCAAAGTTTACCATACACTTCACTAGTAGAGGAAAGTCGCACACGGAGAGAATTTTTTTAATTTACTCTGAAAATTATGTAATCGTGCACTGAAAAAAAAAAGTTTCCTAACGTAGCAAATCATGGTTTGCTCAAAATATTTTGCTGCCATAACTGTAAATTTTTTAACCACAGCAAACAGTTTACTGTCGCACCTAATACAATAGGCACAGTAGCAAAATATTTAGCGATCGCAACTAAATATTAGCTGTCCATATTTTACAACTAAAATTTGGTTGCCACATGCAGTT